GTGGGGGGGTGGGGGGGTGGGGGGGTGGGGGGGGGGGGCTAGGGGGGCTGGTCTTATGGGGTCTACTGTAGGGTTTAAAGCTTCATGAAGTTCCAAGGATAGTTCTACCGAAGGGTTGCAAGCACCCTGTACAAGCGGACAAGACGTCTAAGTAGGAGTTCAAGTTTGTTTTTTGGGGGGGTTTTCGGTTCAGGTAGGATCGTTTGGGATTGTTCCCCTTATACTAACAGTCCTTAGTAGGGATTATAGTAACCACTCTTATCTATATCCCCTTGGGAATAATTGTTAATTGTTGTTTATATAAAAACCCAACAGGATATTAACATGTTATCTTTAGTATGGTTCTAAGGGGAGTATAGTTATTAAATCCCTATTCAGGACTGTTAGTATAAGGGGGAACATCCCAAAGGATCGTATTGTTACACTGGCCAAGGGGTGGTTGACAGGAGTGGCCCATTCAGCTACACTCCGAGCTCGCGCGATGCGAGCTACGCCGGTATCTGAGTGATGGATTAGGGTTTAGGGTTTAGGGTTTAGGGTTTGGGGCTCAGGAATTCGGGATGGCTGTCGGTATTGCACAAGAAGCTTGGTTTGCCTAAACCCTATAAACCCACAGCCCTAAACCCTAGACCCTAAAACCAAAACCGAAACCCTAAACCTAAACCCTCTAAACTCCCGAATACTGCGAGCTCTTTCTGAGGCCCCGATGTCATCACTCTCAGCACGTTCGCCAGCGTGTCGGCCTCAACCACGCAGCCGAGAAGCCTCAGCCGTAACACCCTAAACCCGAGTTGTAGTCCAGGACCCAGTGTAATCAGGCCCGTATTCCCTTTGGGTGAGGGTTCAGGTTCGCTAGAAGTCTCTTTAAGCCAAAAAGGGCCCCTTTCTTAATCCCAGGCTACTCTTAAGTCGAGTAGAATCCTTAAGGCCCTAAACCATCATCATCATCATCATCAGCAAAAAAACAGAACCCGAACACGAGCTACGAACCATAAGCCCCTAACTGAAACCCTATCCAAGCTTGGGGTAGTTGCGTGGGCCCTTACCTCCTCTAAAGGGTTCTGAAGTATGGGACCTTGGGTTGCATAGTCACGGCATAGTCAATAAAAGGGGGTTTAGGGTTTAGGGTTTAGGGTTTAGGGTTTAGGGTTTAGGGTTTAGGGGCGGGGGGTCCCAGTTGTACAACCTTGGAAGTTGGAAGGTCTGAAAACGGTAAGCCCCACGGCCGAATCGCCTCAAGATGCCCTTTGACCGGTCCGGAGCCTTCAGTCTTTCTTCGGACCCACCGACTGGCTGCAGGGTTTAGGGTTTAATTATTGAGTGTAGGTATTTCAAGGGATCGAGATCCCCTAAATATGCCCCAACATGCCACAATCCTCACTATAGAAGCCTCCCTTGGGAAGTCTATACCCCAAACCCTTCACTCTAAACCCCAACCCCAAGTCTTAACCCCAAACCCGTAACCCTAAACCCCAAACCCTAAACCCTAATCCTGAACCTAAACTCTAAACCCCAAACCCTAAACCCTAAAGCCTGAACATGCTCACTTCTCAGCAGGATCCTTTATTTCTTGGGGCGCCCTCGACATATGGGAACATACTCTCGAACCGGGGCGCGAAGAAGGTCCTTAGTTTAGAGAGCTGGCTAGAGGAGCCCAAAGAACACGATTGGGGTGTATCCTACTACGCCCAAAACTTCAAACCCCAACCCCAAACCCTAAACTCCAAGCCCTAAACCCCAAACCCTAAACCCCGAACCCTAAAGGTCAAATCCTACATCCCAAATCCTAAGCCCCACAAAGGGCTTGGAAAATGAGACCCAGGCCCTAAACCCTAAACCCTAAACCCTAAACCCCAAACCCCAAACCCTAAACCCTAAACCCTAAACCCTAAGGCGTGCGGTGGCGGCCGCCGTTGGCAGCTTGCACTCTCCTCGCTCTGCCAGGCGGGGGAAGCAAAGGCCCTTTGGAGGTGAGCGGATGATTTGGGGTTTAGGGTTTAAGGTTTAGGGTTTAGGGTTTAGGATTTAGGGTTTAGGGTTTAGGGTTTAAGGTTTACGGTTTAGGGCTTGTAGCCGGCTATAGACCCTGCAGCCTGATAAGCCCAAACCATTCTACACCCTGAACTCTCACAGGCCAATTCATGGTTTAAGCAAATGGGCCCGGCTTCCGCGCAGCCGTGTAATTACCCGAAATCCCACACCTAACCTAACCCCAAGGGTTTAGTGTGGGAGCCTAAAGATTTACCCAATCATCTCCACAGTACCCATTCGATTCCAACGGCCCGTATGTTGGTAGGGTCTGTTGGCCCCATCAGAATATCCAAAGCCGTTCACCCTCAACTCCCCAAGCTCCCTCAACTTCATCAACTCCCTCAACCCCTTCAAATCCCTCAAGTATCCAACTATCTAGGTACATGGACTCTTAGGGTATGCTTTCTTATGTGCAAATAAGGCCCTAAACCCTAAATCCTAAACCCTAAGACCTCAACCCTCAAGCCTAAACCCTAAACCCTACACCCTAAACCCTAAACCCTAAACCCTAAACCCTAAACCCTAAACCCTCAACCCAACTCGAGGTAGATGGGCTGGTGCCAGACATGGTCGCTGTCAATGCCCTGCACAGCGCCCTCGTGCGACGCTCAGGGCGGGGACCACTCCTTGGGAGCTGCAAGCTGCATAGGGTTTAGGGTTTAGGCTTTAGGGTTTAGGGTGTAGGGTTTAGGGTTTAGGGTTTAGGGTTTAGGGTTTAGGCCACATGTCACGCTGCATTCGGGAGAGCCGAGCACAAGGGTGCGGGGCTGTGGAAGAGTCTTCGGCATCTATACTTTGCCGGGCGCTGCGTTCGGGAGCACCCGGCGTAGAGAGAACGGGGTAGTGGACGAGCGCTGCTTCGTCTTCCACCCGCGGTTCTCAGCATCCTGCAGCTGCGTTCGGGAGGACCCGACGTAGAGGAGGCGGGGGGCTTGACCGGCAGGGCATGGTCTTGTTCCCGCGGTCTCCTGCACAGGGCCCCGGGGCCAGTCTTCTCACACGCTTGCATTTTTGTTTTGCGCACCGCCCTCAGAAGTAGGATTGGGACGCAGCACGGTGAAGGCTACAGTAGTTTCCCGGCGCATCTTCTTTCATCCCTGGAGCCCCGCCTTCCGGCTCTTCCGGGCCGAATGCGTGGCTTTGTTTGGGCCGTTTCTGCACTTCGTAGCCTGACTCGAGACGAAGTTCTTGGTCGGGAGACGAAGGCCTAACCCCCTTTAGAGGCTTGAAGCTCTGAGGCTTACGCAGCTTTTCCGTCTGGGGGGATGCTCAGGTCCCAGAGCCCTCCCTGGGTTTAGGGTTTAGGGCGCTTAGGGGTTTTGCCTTATAAACCCTAAACTCTAGACTCTAGACCCTAAACTACTATTCGGGGCTTCGTCGGGTGGAGCTTTCAAACATGCCCAATCCGAAACCCTAAACCCTAAACCCTAAACCCTCAACCCTAAACCCCAAACCCTAGACCCTAAACCCTAAACCCTAGACCCTAAACCCTAAACCCTAAACCCTAAACCCTAAACCCTAAACCAAAGCCCACCGAGGAAAGAGGCCGACAATGGGAGCATTCCATGCGGTTGCTGCACTACGGCCCAGATCCCGGTCTATCGTTTCATTGCACCTGGGTTAGGGGTTTAGGGTTTAGGGTTTAGGGTTTAGGGTTTAGGGTTTAGGGTTTAGGGTTTTACTATTACAAGGCGGCCCCTTACTATGTAGGGTACCACAAAAAGGGACCATACTGTAGGGAACTGGCCAATATAGTCTTTGGGCTGCCAACCTTTCTTGCTGTTCAGGGCTTTAGGGGCTTTACTGTTTCGGTTTGCATTAGATATGGGTTTAGGGCTCACTGGTTAGATGCATAGTTGCTTCGCATGTTTGTTGTTTTTGTTTGCACCTTGATTTGCGAATGCAAGCAACCATCACATCGCGATTTGGAAACTGCACCCCCCCTCCGCCCCTTTTTCCGGCCCAAATTCCGCGACACATGGGGGGTTTACGATTCTAGGGGTACCGTATTGGGGGGGCCTTATTAGAAGAATCCTACTCTTTGGGGTCTGTATTAGGGGTCCCTTATTGTCGTAAACCCTCATATGCCGATCGATTCCTTCTAAAGCTTGTCTAGGGGGCTGCTGGTTGTGGCTCTCTTCTTCTGGCTGCTTTAGGGTTTAGGGTTTGGGGTTTAGGGTTTAGGGTTTAGGGTTTAGTGCTTCTAAGTCTAGGGGCTGCCATGATCCACTTCACCAGCCTGAGACTGTACGTTTGTTCTCCGGTGACGTAAGGGCGAAGCCGACCACAAACGCCAAGCCCGACTGGTGAAAAACCCATTGAAACCCTAATAGGGTTTAGGGTTTAGGGTTTGGGGTTTGGGGTTTGGGGTTTGGGGTTTGGGGTTTGGGGTTTAGGGTTCAATCTTGAGCGCAAAGACACCCAGTACTGCTTCGCGGGCGGTCCCTGTCTTGGCAATGGCGCGCTTCGCTCATGGCTCGACACAACATCCAAGCTTATTTGTAGCACGCGACGTGTGGGGTGGTTTAGGGTTTCGGGTTTAGGGTTTAGGGTTTAGTGCGCTGGTTGCATTGCCGTGTGCACTCGGACGCTCGTCGAAGTGGATAAACTGGGCCCTATGCAAGAAGGCTCACGAGCACCGCCCCTGAACCTAACTTCATCGGAACCCCGCTCACAGAAGCTTCTGGCATTCCTCGCAACAACCCTAAACCCAAAGCCCTAAACCCTAAACCCGAAACCCTAAACCTTAAACCCTAAACCCTATTACTCCTGTAGTGTATTTTGTTTCCTGACGGCTTCAGAACTCTCAGCCCTTCGCCCCTCTCCAAAGGAAGGCCGTACATGGGTTTAGGGCTTCATTAGGGTTTAGGGCTTGAGGGTTGAGGGTTGAGGGTTTAGGGTTTAGGGTTTAGGGTTTGGGCCTTCATTAGGGCTTATTAGGGCTTCATTAGCGCTTGGCGTTTCCCTCAATGTCATGGCTGCCACACTGCCTGCGGCCCTGGCTGCTTCCGGCACTCGTCTACCCGGCTTCCGGATGGTCAGGCGGAGCTCCCTGAGAAGCCTTAGAACCTCAAACCCTAAAATGTAAAACCCAAAACCCTGAATACGCACTCCAAAACCCAAAACACCCTTAGAACCCTTAGAATCCCTAAATCCCTAAAACTCTCAAGCCCAAAGCTAAACCCTCGGCCCGGTAAAACCAGAACCCAGATCTCCAGGCCTCAAGCTCTCTCACGCCAAGGCTTCGGGGTTTAGGGTTTAGGGTTTAGGGTTTAGGTTTAGGGTTGAGGGTTTAGGGTTTAGGGTTTAGGGTTGAAGGCTTTGGCTTGAGGATCTTGGGCTGAGGCTTCGGGTTTAGTGCCCAAGGCGAATAATCTCAATGCCCCAAATTCCCCGAAACTTCCTCAAATTCCCCAAATTTCCCTGAATTTGCCCTAAATCCCCAGATTTCCTAAATCCCTAAATTGCCCCTAACCCTTAAGAGTCCCGAAATCTGAGATCCGACGCCTAAAGAAGAAGGCACCGGCCACCTGCACGTGGCGATGGTGGCGCAGCAGGTCCTCAGAGACTCGAGCAGGATGCAGGCGCGACCTAGGGGGTTAGGGTTTAGGGTTTAGGGCTTAGGGCTCAGGGCTTAGGGCTTAGGGTTTAGGGTTTAGGGTTTGGCATCTAGGGGGCCAGGGCTACTATAGGGCTTTAGGGTTTCGAGGGCTTAGGGGGGTTTAAGGTTTTGGGGACCTCAGGGGGTGTGATGTCTCAGTGAGGGGGCCTCGGAATGCTGCGCCCTGCAACTTTTGGGCCGCCATTGCCGCCGAAGACTCAGCCTTAAGCCTTAAGCCTTCAGCCTTAAGCCTTAAGCCCTAAGCCCTTAAGCCTTCAGCCTTCAGCCTTAAGCCCTTAAGCCTTAAGCCTTAAGCCCTTAAGCCCTTAAGCCTTAAGCCTGAAGCCTTAAGCCTTAGGCCCTTAAGCCCTTAAGCCTTAAGCCTTCAGCCTTAAGCCTTCAGCCTTCAGCCTTAAGCCTTCAGCCTTCAGCCTTAAGCCTTCAGCCTTAAGCCTTCAGCCTTAAGCCCTAAGCCCTTAAGCCCTTAAGCCCTTAAGCCCTTAAGCCCTAAGCCCTTAAGCCTTAAGCCCTCAACTCCACACCGAGCAGCTGCCGCCAATGCAGTGGCTCTTGAGCTCGCCTTTCCCGAAGGTTCCCTGTGCCCCAAAAAGTATATACTTGGGCCCTACAGGGTGGGGCCCCCTTACTATACTAACTGTAGTTAAGGGACTTATGACCTAACTTAGGGTCCTTCCTTATAACCCAATTTAGGGCCCTTATAACTCACTTATAACTAGGGGGCCCCACCCTGTAAAGCTACTGTATAGGAACCGCTTTAAGGCCCAAGTATATACGATATGGGTACATGGCCCCTTTGGGTTTGCGATGGAGGCCCAGGCCAGAGACGCCTAGGAGGAACTCGGAGGAACTGGCGGCCGCCAAGACCGCCACACAGAAGGCGGCGGAGGCCGCTGCAGTGGTGGAGCTTTACCTCCAAGAAGCCGACATCCTCGACGCGTGCTGAAGCCAACCGGCCCATCTGGTTTTAGGGTCTGGGTGTTCAGGATTGCAGGCTAGACGCTCGTAGGCCAGGTGCTTTCTCGACGAGCTTTGCAAGGGGCACACGCGCTTGCCTGTGCCCGGGGGTGCTTGGTGTGATTATGAGCATATCTACACCTTTTGTATTTCCCTTTTGTTGGTTTGTCATCGCGCTGCCCTCAGAGGTAGGGAACGACTCTAGAGGTTGAACAGTGTAACAGCGTATACAGAAGAATCCTAAACCCCTCACCCCCTAGACCCTAAACCCTAAACCCTAAACCCTAAACCCTAAACCCTAAACCCTAAACCCTAAACCCTAAACACTGCACCCTATGTCGAGTTCTTTGGGGCCCAAAGCTCCCCAGACCTTCAAGAAGAGCCCTTAGAGCCCGGAAGATGCACTTTCTTCCCGGCGTCTTCCCTAGGGATTAGGGGCTTTGGGTTTAGGGTTTAGGGTTTAGGGTTTAGGGTTTAGGGTTTAGGGATTAGGGGTTTAGGGTTTAGGGTTTAGGGTTCTGGGTTGAGGGTTCAGGGTTTCGCTTCTTGGCGGTTTCAGGGGCTTGGTGTTTCGGGTACAGGGTTTTGAGGTTAAACTTCAGGCAGCGACCAGTCCGCGCCTTGACACACGTTGCATGTTTACATTTTTGCCCATCCGTCTTCACGCTGCCACTCAGAAGTGGGATCCAACAGCGTGTCTACGCTGGAAGGGCTCCGTGTAGGGTTAGAGGGTTTAGGAGTTTAGGGGTTTGGGGCATTTTTCTCTAAATCAGCTACAATTGTACGATAGAATCTCTTTTTCCGAAACGAACAGGAACCTTTACAAGGGCCCTAAACCCGAAACCCTAAAGCCGCAACCCGAAACCCTAAACCCTAAACCCTAAACCCGAAACGCGAGAATCTCTGTCAGGTGCGAGACCTGCTTCATGGCGACCTCGTGGATTTCGCCCACTACGAGCAGAAGCTCCACGTGCCCTCCCCCGACGTGTTCAGCAAGGGTTTCGACCCTAGACCCTAAACCCTAAACCCTAAACCCTAAACCCTAAACCCTAAACCCTAAACCCTAAACCCTAAACCGTGCTGGGAGAATCAGGGTACTTATAACCCCAACTAAAAACGTACTCATAAGCCCCGAAGTCCTCCAAATAGGTTCTGAGTAGACTATTCAGGGAACAAGTACACATGAACCTCCAAGCAACCCCTAAGCCCTAAACCCTAAACCCTAAACCCTAAACCCTAACCCCGAACATCTTCTTCCGAGAAGTGGACCTCCAACCCTAAACTAAACACCAAAGCCCTAAAGCCTTGAGTCTAAGCCCTAAGGGTGCATGTACCTTATAAAATGTATACTTGCGTCCCAAAGTGCCTCTATTTAGGAGGTACTTTAAGGCCCAAGTATTCCCTATTTAGGTACATGGACCCTTACTTAGTAGTAAGTACCCCCCCCCCACATTGAGTAGGTAAGACCTTCAAAACCGTAGGTACATATAGGGTCCCAGGTGAAGCCTTGAGTCGGAGCCCTCAATCCCTAAACCCTAAACCCTAAACCCTAAACCCCAAACCCTAAACCCTAAACCCTAAACCCTAAACCCGGAGAGGCACAGTCCGCGTCTCCCAACATCGCTTCCTGCCACTTCCACTCGCAGACGCCGGAATGGCAATGCGAGGATGGGTGTTGCAGCACAGGGGTGGGTTTAGGGTTTGGGGTTTAGGGTTTAGGGTTTAGGGTGTAGGGTGTAGGGTGTAGGGTGTAGGGTGTAGAGTTTAGGGTTTAGGGTTTAGGGTCTCGGGGTTAATATGGGGTTAATATGGGGCTCGGTGGCGTTTCTGTGGGGCTTCTGCCCCAAAACCCTAGGCCCCAAGCCCGTAAACGTTGAACCTTTCAGGGCTTTTGGGGTTTTGGGCACCCGCACTGGAGGTTTATGGTACTCAAGAACCCAACTATGACTGCACTGACGCCCAACTATAACCACATTAGGGCACTTCAAGGGCTTATCGGTGGGTTATAAGTACAGTTACAGTTGGTTTCTAAGTACCCTAAACCCGAAGCCCTAAACCCTCCTTAAAACACGGTTTAGGGTTTAGGGTTTAGGGTTTAGGGTTTAGGGTTTAGGGTTTTGAAAATCTCCTGAGTATGGTTGTCTTACGCCCAAGAAGGGAAAACGTGGGGGGGGGGGGGGGTTTCCGATCAAAGGGGTTCCGGCTTATTTGGGGGTTCCCATAAGAAGGATTATAGTATTTTGGGTTATATTGGGGGGTACCCCTATCTTGGGGAAATAAGCATGCAATTTTTATCCCGAGGATTTAGGTTTCGGGTTTAGCCGGTCTAAGGCCCAAACCTCAACCGTATCCAGCAGAGGTCTGATCCCACTTGGATTCCTGATCCCGATAAACCCTAAATAAGCCCCAAAACCCAACATGGACCTTTACAAATCCCTCCCTAAACCCTAAACCCTAAACCCTGCACCCTAAACCCTAAACCCTGAACCCCTAATGAGCCCTAGTACGTTCTGCACACGGCAGGAAGGCATCGGCATCAAGGGCCAGGCGCATCCATGGTATGCGTCTTACGAAAATATGGGGAAACCTTTTTCGCTCCGTAGTTCATTAGGTTTGGGGTTTAGGGTTTAGGGTTTTGTGGTTTAGGCTTTTAGGGTTTAGGGTATAGGGTTCAAAAGGGTGCGAAACAACACTTCCGCCATGCTTAGTCGCCGTTGCCTTTGTGCAGAGGTCTTGCAAGGCAATAATACTCATCTTCTTAAGTCTAAAGCAAGCCTGCAGCCCATGCTAGTGTTGAATCTTGTTTGGCTTTAATCCGTAGAGCCCTTTTGGTCCTTCGACCCTAAACCCTAAACCCTAAGCCCAAAGCCTTAGACCCTAAACCGTAAGTCTGGACCATGCTCTTTGTGAGATCTTGCACGAAAGAGTTGAACCATCTGCGGGATTCTGAAAGAAGGAACGGGGTACCCGTTTGGGTGGTTTCTATGATAAAGCTAGTACGGTTTGAGGGCTTCCTGGACTCAGGATTGGGTTAAAATATGTAAATAAATAAATAAATATATATATATATATATGGATAGATATATATATATATATAGATGTATTCGAGGGCCCCCTATTTGGGGAAAGACCCTTTTAGCGTCTATTTCCGCTTACATTTGTGTTGGCCTCATCAGTACGACCGCGCGAGCTTCTTGAGAGTGAGACTGGGTGGGGGGTTCGTTCGACCTAAGCCCCCCTCTAAGAGACCATCATGTTCTGGATTCTGCTATGTTCCCCTTGTGTTGATCGCACAGATGGGCTGTTCTGTATGGGAGCACCCGGGTGGAAAGGGCGTATGCATGCTTAATGTGGACTTACGTGAGGTGATAGAAATGAGAGCGTCCAGCGAGCCTCTCCGTCAACACCTACGTCATAGTTGGGTGACATTTTTACATTTTTAAGGGGACTTAAACACAATTTGGAATAGACATTTGATTTGTTAATACTATCCGTTTGTTCTTTTTGGCCGGCTTTGCGTGGAGGTCCATTGTGATGGCTCTGAAAGCAGCTGCTTGGCGAAGACTGACCCCTCAACACCCTAAACCCTAAACCCTACACCCACCTGGGGTACTGATTTCCTACAGAGTAAGCTTCAGCCAAAGTAGCCCAATCAGTGTTTTTGGGACTTGCAAGTGGGGTCAGGACTAGAGGGTATAGGCAGGTAGGCTGTAGCACTCCAGACTCCAGACCATACTTGTGGCTAAGCTGTGTTCTTGTAAGTAAGAGGAGCATTTTTCTGGCTTCCGTTTAGGGTTTAGGGTGTAGGGTTTAGGGTTTAGGCCTTTCAGGGATTAACATGCCGGATTACCCTGGATAAGACTCAGAATACCAGAAGACGTACACAGTATGGCCTGACTCCTAATGCAAGCCGGAAGCTATCCTATATACCCTCCCCACTGGTTCTTAGTAGGGAATCAGGGAATTAGGGCCCTACACGTACTCTTTGAGGTTGGGATGTTCCCCCTTATTCTAGCAGTCCTTAATCGGGATTATAATAGGGGGTACGAGTCCCCATTGAGCATAAGGGTGGAACATCCCTACTTTGAAGAGATTATATGGGGTCCTCATCCCCTACTAAGAACCAGCTAGCCTCCTAGGGTGAAATCCGCAATTTAGTGTGAGGGCTCTCTGACAGAATGCTCAGGTTTGCTGGCTTGGGGAAGGTCAGTTCAGCTTTTTTGGGGGTTTAGGGTTTAGGATTTAGCCCTTATTCCCCTCTTTTTTCGGGTTCAGGTTACCTTAGAACGCCCCTTGAACTAAACAGGGCACCCTGTTTATTCCTAGGTTACTCCTGGCTCGAGGGTTCTTAGCTAGGGCCCTTTTCACGGACCTCTTGAACAAGATTCCGCTATAGGAACGTATCTTCCAGGAGACTATAAGTCACTCCATTTACATACTCCTCCCCCCAAAAAAAACAAACGAAAGCCCTAACAAAAACAACCTGATGACCATACACCCCACTTATCCCTAAGCTATCGGCCCCTCTACAAACCCTTTCAGGGACTCTTTCAGAAGAGGTGAACCCATGTAAACCCCAGAAAAAACCTCCGCAACCCTAAACCCTAAACCCAGAATCTTTTCGGTGGGTGCGGAGGCTACTTTTCGCTGCTTTGCCGCGAGCTGAGGGTAGCGTCCCCTCCAAACCTCCCCTCAAAGAAGGTCGGGTTTAGAGTAGTACTTGAAGGTTCATGGGACTTAATAACCACTTATAACTGTACTTATAACCCTACTTATAATTGGGATAACCCCTATAAGGCCCTTTAGGGGTATTATAAGTAGGGTTATAAGTGCAGTTATAATTTGTCAATAAGTCCCATGAACCTTCAAGTAGGGTTTAGGGTTTGGGGTTTAGGGTTTAGGTTTAGGGTTCAGGGTTCAGGGTTGGGTCCCTTGAGAACCCTATGAAGGATGCTCGAGCAAGCTTCGTTGATGGTTAATTGTTTCGAGGCTTGTGGATTCGGAGTAGGTTGGTCAATATTGGGTGTACTTTCAGGGCTGAAGGTTTATGTTTTATTAGTGTTTATGGGTCCGGGATTTCGGGTGTAGGGGGTTGGGGTTACGGGTTTGCGGTTTTGGGTGTAGGGCTCAGTGTGCTGCAGGTGATACTTTCACAGCTGTACCTGCCACTTCTGAGAGCTCCTCGAGACGATACTCTATTGACCGGTGCCCCAAAAGTTATAGGGCTATTATAGGGCCCCTTTTAAACCCTAGGAACCCCAAGAAAGGGACCATGATCTGGAGAACCCCCTCACCCCATACAAACCTCTTTAGGGTTCAGGGTTTAGGGTGTAGGGGTAAGGGTTTAGGGCTTAGGGTTTAGGGTTCGAAGCCCCTGCCAAACACTTTCAAGCATTACAGGGCCTAGAACATCCTATGCAACCCTATTCACCAAACTTTGATCGGTTTTCTTCTTGAGGAGTTGAACTCATGCGCTTCAAATGCTGCATGCCTCCCCTGTCCCCTTGTGAACTTCATGGAGACTACATCGCGTGGTGTAGGATTTAGGGGTTGGGGTTTAAGGTTCAGGGTTATAGCGTTTAGGTTTAAGGGTGGGGTTTGGGGGTTTGAGTTTTGGGCTTAGGGCTTCGAAATGTACTAGAAATCTGGCGCGCGACTGCAAGCACGGCAAGGTGCGCTCGCGCACACCTTCGAGAAGTTTGCGCATGATGTGCTCCTGGTGGAGTTCCCAAAGACGGACTTCATCAGGCAGGACAGCGAGGATGTGTAGATCTGGAATGTTTTCGTGCTTACTACTCACAGTTTAAATAGTCTCAAGTGTTTAGGAATTTCCAGTGAACACGCCTTATACCACTGAAGTCCGTGGTTTCCGGGGGCAAGGGAAGGGGGGGGGCTTAGGTACACCCAGGTTTTTTCGGGCTCAATGGCCTTAAACACGACGAGACGGCCTAAAAGATCCCAAACCCTAAATACTGCGTAGGTCGTGGTTGGGTTTGAGTCTTGGAGGCCTCAGTCAGGGTCCTGACGTAATCCCGTAAGCCCCAAACCCCCCCAAACCCTTCCCTAAGACCTCCAAACCTTCAAACCCACAAGACCCCAAACAACCAAGCCACCGAAGCCCCACAACCCTACAAGCCCACCTCGGGCGCCAGGAACCCTAAACCCGAAACCCTAAAGGCCCCAAACCCCTGAATATTAGAGTTCCGGTTCAAGCAGGCCGAAACACTAAGCCCTGAGCCCCCAGGTCTAGGCTTTTTGGGCTAAGTTTAGGCTAAGCGGCTAAACCCTAAACCCTAAACCCTAAACCCTAAACCCTAAACCCTAAACCCTAAACCCTAAACCCTAAACCCTAAACCCTAAACCCTAAACCCTAAACCCTAAACCCTAAACCCTAAACCCTAAACCCTAAACCCTAAACCTAACCATAAACCCTAAACCCTAAACCCTAAACCCTAAACCCTAAACCCTAAACCCTAAACCCTAAACCCTAAACCCTAAACCCTAAACCCTAAACCCTACCCCCCTTCCCAGGATGCCAGCAGGCAAGGCGAAGGCGGCCAACTTTTGGGCCGACTTCGCGGCACACCCTGAGATGAGCCTTGGGAGATCCCAGTGGTACTTTGGGGGGTTTACGAAAAGAGGGTTAGGGTTTACGGTTTAGGGTTTAGGGTTTAGGGTTTAGGGTTTAGGGTTTAGGGTTTAGGGTTTAGGGTTTAGGGTTTAGGGTTTAGGGTTTAGGGTTTAGGGTTTAGGATACCTTATTGGGTGTCCTTATCTTTGTAGCCCTGTGGTACCCTTCACCCTTTTATTTGTTGGTTATGGGTTTCCGTATGAAGTGACTAACCCAAAAACGGGTGCCCTTATTGAAACATGGTTACTGGGCTACCAAGTTACTGTAAGGGAACCCTACTATTTCTATTTTAGGGGTCCCCTATTTTGGTAAACCCCCGCTTGGAGGATCGGGCACATTAGTGTTTAGGGTTTGGGCTGTAGAGTTTAGGATTTGGGGTTTAGGGTTACGTAGTAAGTAGGGTTATATGTACCTTAATTGGGCTTAAAAAGCAATCATAAGTATAGATTCCTTTCTGAGAACCCCACTTACTAAGACCCCTGATCCTTCAAGTAGCTCTTTGTGCCCCCTTTTTCGTTGGGCCAAGGTTTCCGACAACCCTAAACCCTAAACCGTGGCCCTGTAAGGCTATAAGTTTTAAGCACTATAACACTAAGTACGAAGGACCTTTATGCACTATTTTGCGTGTGGCTTTGGCTGACTTGAAAGGGCACAGTATGTGTTTTTTTGGGACCCCATCAATGATATGGTCCATTGAACTAGAATCGCAAGGGCACACTGCCATCTAAAAAACAAGATTTCTATGTCAAGCTGCCGGACTCCTCAAGACTGATAAGGCGTGTTTAACGGGCGCGAGTCCCCTATATTTTGTTTACATCCCCCCTCATCCCCCCATCATCCCCCCTCATCCCCCCTCATCCCCCCTCATCCCCCCTCATCCCCCATCGTCCCCCATCATCCCCATGATCCCCCCTCATTTTCAATCGCCCGATCATCGCCATCATCCCTCATCATCCCCCCTCATCCCCCATCCCCCGATCATCCCCCGATCATCCCGCATCATCCCCCATCATCCCCATCATCCCCGATCATCCCCGATCATCCCCGATCATCCCCCATCATCCCCCATCATCCCCCATTATCCCCCATCATCCCCCATCATCCCCCCTCATCCCCCATCATCCCCCATCATCTTCGTCGTCATCCTGATGTTCATGGTTATGGTAACTAAAAAACTATTCTTATACATGACTCCCGAGAACATCCCGCAGGAGCAGCGGTAGCACTGCAACAACGAGTTCTACATTATTCTTGGGCCGGCTTTGCTTGTTTTTGTAACTCTTGTTGCAGCATCCTACTGCTCGTTGAGACTTTGCCGGTATTTTAGCGAGAGCCACGCGCAGAATTCCGGCTTCATAAAGCCTCCATTGTATAGACTCATCTGTTTCAGTTGCGCAATGCCGTTGTCGGGACCTAATCTTCGACTTCGACTGGGTACTCAAGGCCCAGTTTCGGAAGAAGAAGGCGGACCTCCGACACACTCGCAAGAAGCTTGTGGAGCTGCGGGAAACCATTCGCTCGAAGGAGATGGAGCTGGACGAGATGGAAGAGGAGCGCTCGTCGTCGTTCTCATGCGCGTCACCGTTACTTGCTGAGAGTGAAAGCGATAGCAGCAGTGAGGAACCGGAAGTCGAGCAACCAAGGGCCACCAGGCCGGACTTTCATGGCCTCCACTGGCACTGCGCTCAAGAGCAATCACCCTCTCAGTGAATGCAGTCGCTTAGGTCCCCAAGCAGCCCCCTCCACCTCACATCGTGCAAGCCTCGGCTCTCCGACCGCTACAGCGCTTTAGCGCAACGCATGTCGCTCAGGCTGTTTCGCCTGTTGCTCTCGCAATCCCGGATGGGCGCGCGTCTCAGTGGAAGCAAAACTACTGGCCAGACAGCGCAAGCAGTGTTTTCGTAAGCTCCAGGTACCAACACGCACGAGCGAGCGTCGCAGCGCCGGGCGCCTATATCGCCCGGATACACTTGCTTCCTCTCGGGCAAGCTTCTCATCTGTCGTGGTTGTATTGCTGTCGCCAAACTTTATCAAATTCGAGGCGCCTGACAAGAAGCGCCAACGTGCAGTCGACTGCCCAGAAGACTATTGAATGCAACGGACATGGGGGTTTCCGAAAATTCTTATAATGGAATCTTGTCGTTTAGGGGGTCTTTATGGGATGTACTCTTGTTTTCGGAAACTCCGACATGAATCTGTATGGACAGTCAGTGGTGTGGCTCGAGGCCAGCGCCGGACCGAACGAAGGGGTCTACCCAGACTGCTTTTGGAATACGGAAACCCTGAAGTGCATAACCCCGAGCCCCTATCCGACATTCCTAAACCTATGCGGGGTTTGAGGCCAGAACCACGCCTGCAAGGATTGCGGACTGCTCAGACTCACTAACACAAGTGAAGCCTGAGTTTCCGAAATTAGATGTACTTTTCGAAAAGTACCCCTATTTTCGGAAACTGCAAATGAGCCATCGTGACAACTGTTGTAATTGCGCAGAACCCCGCAAAGCTACAGGGAACACTGACACGAGGTCGAGCTCTCCTGGGCTTCTGATCGCGGCCCTGCTGTAGCTGATGTGGCCTAGTTTTGATTTCTAAACACCAGCCCGTAAGTGCAACTCTAAACTCTCTAATTAAGCCCTATATAAGTGCTAAACCCTAGACCCTAGCCCTAAACCCTAAACCCTCAACGCTAAACCCTAGACCCTCAATCCTAAACGCTAAACCCTACAGCGAAGCAGCCAAGAGCAGGATGCGTGCCGCAAAACTCTGCAATGTAAGCGCGTCGGACTTGCTCGGTTGTTGCTACCTTAAGGTATAAGCTAAGCAGCAATACCAAATCCGAAAGCCGAAATCACAATCACTTTCGCTAAGGGCTGGTTTTAAAAAACACAGCAAAAGAGAACGCCACATATACTACGTAAAGGTCCATGCCACAAAACCCTAAACCCTACACCCCGCCTAAGCTCGAAGCCCTAAAAGCCTATGACCCCCACACCCTGCAAGTTCTCAACCCCCCCAACAAAGCGCCCTGACTATTGCATGGCTTTTGGGCTACCAAGGAGCGCATACGCGGAGACCTGGTCCTGATGAGGGGCTGTTGATTTGTGGGGGGGGGGGGGGGGTGGGGTGGGGGTTAGGGTCTAGTTCGTTCTTTGTTCCCCTGAATGTGCTTAGAGCTTAGGCCTTTTTGTCGGGGATTGGGATTGGGGTTTCGGACCCACAGTGTAGTGGGCCCTCGCTCCCTTTTTGTCAAGGGCCTGGACTCCCTTACAAGGTTGGGGTTTAGGGTCTAGGGTTTGGGGTTTAGGGTTAGGGCTCGATAAGGGCTTGATAAGGGCTTGCGGGCGGTTGAGAGGCTCCATTCCTCCGCACGTTTACGGATGCAGGGCATAGTTAGGCTCCTAAACCCTACCCATTGCAAAAAAAAGATTTACGGCTCTGGGGTAGAGGATGGGATCATGGTGTTTCGGGTCTGGGGGGCTTAGGGTCTAGAGTTTCGGGTTTAGGGTTTAGGGTGCTTTTAGGTATCTCGGACGCTCCTCAATTCGTGGTAGGGTTTAGGGGTTATAGGGTGCTTGACTCTCTCCAGGGCAGGGTTGGTGGAGCTTTGTTGTAGATTATGCTGTGCAAACGCAAACCCTTAACCCTAACCCCTAAACCCTAGACTCCTAGACTACCCATCACCAGAATCCCAACTCCTGTCTGATCCCTGGGGATCCGGATGCGATGGGAAGTCGAGCCCGAGTTCTATTTATCTTGTAGTCAACAGATCATATTAAAGCCACAATTGGTTGATAGGCGTCCATTTTCTTTTGGCATTGGGTCTTTATGTAATAAGAAATACAAAAAAACTGGGGGGGGGGGGGGGAAGATTTAGCGGCCGACGCGCAGGAAGTCGTTCTCCTATTGTAAAAAAAACTCCCTCAAAACATGAACATGTATTCTTTCCTTTCCTAGAAAAATCAGGGCATTGTTTTTTTTGTTTCTTTTTTTGGGGGGTCTTAAGCAAAAAGTAGTCTCGCAGTTTGTACACCACGCTTAGATCCATAATTTGAACTTGAGTTTGTGCCAAGTGGCGTGGGTGACACATTCGCTGTTCATGGGGATCTTCCGCTTTCGGCGTGATGAATGGTGAAACGAAGCTGTTGCGTTTTCTTCGAGGAGTGTGTGATGATTCAGGCTTTGCCTGAGGCCGGACTGAACTGAAATTCATTGACATTGTGACCCTAAACCCTAAACCCTAACCCTAAACCCTAAACCCTAAATGTTGGTTTTTGTTGTTGTTCAAACTCCTTCAAAGAGTTTCTCATTCGAGTCGCGCTTGGAACCTTGGGAACCGAATGAACCCTAAAACCGGGGTCACGTACCCTACTTAACTATAATCCCTAGAAGGGTATATAGTCAACCCCTATCTAACCCTTGAACAAAAGGAACCACTTAAAACCCTGACCCGAACATCCAACCTCAAGCTGTAAACCCTAAACCCCTACCAAACCTTAAATACAAGGTTGGAGCCCCCTTCATCTGGCTCCCTTACCTTTGTTTAGAGGCATCCGGAGTCATGGGCCCTTATTATGTATAGTGTACATAAGTGTTATACAACAGGGCCACAGAAGTAAAGGGCTCCCTAAACCATAAACCCTTAACCCTAAACCCTAAGCCGAAACCCTAAGCCCTGAATCCCAAACCCTGGCCCATACTTGGAACCCTATAGATTAATCTTCCAGCCAAGGGCATGCTGAAGTGGCCCTCCCTGTATCATTATACTCGAAGAACCCCCCAAAACCCTGGGTTTAGGGTTTAGGGTTTAGGGTTTAGGGTTTAGGGTTTAGGGTTTAGGGTTTAGGGTTTAGGGTTTAGGGTTTAGGGTTTAGGGCTTCCATTGCGCGCGCTTTCATAAGCCAAAGACCGAGGACATGCTAAAGTCGCCCGAAGATGAGCTCCGGTGGCTGGCGATCTTTCTTGGCGCCGCTTCCACGCACGCCGCAGAGGGCCTTCACTCCCCCCCCACCCCGAAGGAAAAGTAAAGGGTTGGTGGTTTAGGGTTTAGGGTTTAGGGTTAGGGTTTAGGGTTTAGGGTTTAGGGCTTAGGGCTTAGGGCTTAGGGCTTAGGGCTTAGGGTTTAGGGCCGTTTAGGGTTTAGGGTTTGGTGTTTAGGGTCTTAGGGTCTTAGGGTCTTAGGGTCTTTGGGTCTTCGGGTCTTTGGGTCTTTGGGTCTTTGGGTCTTAGGGTCTTAGGGTCTTAGGGTTTAGGGTTTAGGAGGGCTTCAGGGTTTTAGGTTTTGGCGGTTTTAGAGTTGTAGAGGTTGAGGATTTTGGGGTTTTTGGTTTTGGGGTTTTAGAGGTTTGGGTTTCAGGGCTCTTGTTTTTTAGGTTTCAGGGGTCTAGGGTTTTCAGGCTCTAGGGTTTTCGGGTTTTAGGGCCCTAGGGTTTTCGGGTTTTAGGGCCACGGGTTGCTTTCCTACATTATGTGTGTAGCATTTCGTGTTGCATAATTAGTTAGGCCTGCCACGTATGTGCTTGCGAATGAAGGAGAGGGACTCGAGTATGACATCGAGTCATACAAGCAGAATAGCAGCAACGGGAACCCCAAGCCCTAAACGGCTGTTAGCGGTTCTTTAATTTTCTAAACTACCCTTAGGACGTCTTACCCCAAATCACACTAAACCGCAAACCCTAACCTCAAACCCTAACACCTAACACCCTAAACCCTAAAACCCTAAACCCTAAAACCCTAAAACCCTAAACCCTAAAACCCTACAACCCTAAAATGAACCCTGAGGATGCCCTTACAACCCCCCAGATCCCGCAGCCCCTATAACCTCCCATCAATGGAAGATCTCTCATTTTGCTTTGTCCGTTTTGGGCTGCCCTAGAAGCCCGACAAGCACTAAAAGCTCTATAAGCCCTAGAAGCACTGTAAGCCCTATAGAAGCACTATAAGGCCCTAGAAGGCCCTAGAAGCCCTATAAGGCCCTATAAGCCCTAGAAGCCAAAGACGCCCTGGAAGCCCTAAGCCCTATAAGCCTGAAACCCTAAACCCTATAAACCCCAAACTCCAAACTCCAAACCCTAAACCCTAAACCCTAAACCCTAAACCCTAAACCCTAAACCCTAAACCCTAAACCCTAAACCCTAAACCCTAAACTAAACCTCGCTTGTAAGGACATGCACCAGCCCCTCCACTGGCTTCGTGGCGCGCACGACTATGGCCGGAATCTGACCATCCTTCACGACGGCAAGGATGGGCTTCAGCAAACGGGCCTATGTAGCTGCTATTCAAGGCTCAAGGTTTAGGGGCTGTTTTTGTATTATTGGTTTTTCATTTGTTTAGTTTATTTATGGCGTTTCTCAGGCGCAGAGTTTTTTCTCCCACATGCGGTTTTCCCTGGGGCTGCTTTTGACCACAAGACTCCTGTAAAGACTTTGTGGGACTGGACAGCTAGAACGCAATGGGTAGCTTACGTCCTAATTCTATGTTGCATCAGGGGATCATCTTGGTAGTATAGGGGTCGCAATAATTACTAGTCGTATTACCCTGTATAAATATGCTATATAATACCCCCCCCCCCCCCCCCAAGACCCCTATTCTAGTCATTAAGGCGGTTATAGTAGTGCTTGAGGCTCCTTTGGTGAGCGCCATCGCTTCAGGCCTAAGCCCAAAGCCCCTAAGCCACGAACCTCAAACCCGAAACCCTGGACCCTAAACCTGCCTAAGGGTCCGTGTAGCCATCTAGTATGTACTTGGGCCTTAAAAAAGCGGGCTCCTACATACAGCGACTTTAAGGCCCAACCTAAACCCTAAACCCTAAACCCTAAACCCTAAACCCTAAACCCTAAACCCTAAACCCTAAACCCTAAACCCTAAACCCTAAACCCTAAACCCTAAACCCTAAACCCTAAACCCTAACCCTAAACCCTAAACCCTAAACCCTGTAGAGGAACATGGACCTTAGGGAAAGCTTCAGTCAGATTCACAAGGCGGGACATGACCGTGGCCAAGATGTGACAATGAAGGTTTAGGGTTTAGGGTTTAGGGTTTAGGGTTTGGGGTTTAGGGTTTAGGGTTTGGGGTTAGGTACACGGTAATTTAGGGGTGTTCATTCGGTGTAGATATGCACCTTCCACCCCAAACTCCATACAACGTGCAACCCTGCACCCAAACCCTGCCTATACACCCTCAATGCTCTCGACCCCGGACCCCAATATGGGTTTAAGGGCTTGAGACTGTAGTTGAGACTCAGACCCAAGTCGTGAAGCTGTCAAAGCACACATGTCCTAAGTTCCGTGTGGTTTGCGCGAGGAGCACAGCCTCTTCGACTTCTGGGCACCTTGGCTACCATCTCTATCACCAGGCGAAGTGACCCTTCCATACTTTACAACTCTCCCATGAGATGTTCCCCCTTCTACGAACAGTCCTTAATTAATAGGTACTACAATAGGGGGTACCAGAATCCCTATTAAGGACCAAACTCTCCCGCACAAGACCCTCCCCCCTCTCTCCCCCACATTCTTGGCACCCTCCAGCTAGAACGGAGAAGTCAACAAGCTGACCCAAGAAGCCAAGAAGAGCCAAGGAGGAGGTGTTGCCACTGCAGTTCCATATGCACAACTTCCAGGGAGATGCAGACAGGCTCGGATCCGTTCTTCTGCCAAGAACCCTACAGACCCTAGTTCCGCCATCGGCCTGTGACCCAACACTCAACCCGAAACTGCACAGGCCGTCGCGGACCCCTTTGCGGATCTAGAAAGTACGTAGGGCCCGCAAGTGGTTCCTGTAACTTCCCCGGTTTCGGGTTTAGGCGGTTTCGGTTTAGGGCCTACGAGGACCCAGAGTAGGCCCTTACTGCCTTCTTTTGGGTTGTAAGTTCCCTGTAAACCCCTTTAAAGCAAAACACTATATTCCTGGGCACCACACACTGGATCCGCTCAAATTGTCTGAGTACCCGCAGACCCCCTGGAGAAATGAGAGAATCAGGGCCCTGTATGAAGAAATATATAAATGTAAATAAGTATACATATATATATATGTATATATATATATATATAACCTTTAAGGAATTATATAGGGTACCTCCTTCCCCCATCCCCTAATAAGAAACAGCCAGCAGAGCCACCCTAAACCCTAAACGCTGAACCCATAAAAGGGCCCTGAGTTAGAGAGCAGGGATCCGCGGAGGTTAAAGCGCAGCCAGAAGCTGGAGCCCTTCAACCACCACCCCAACGATGTTTTTGCGGATTGGGGCTGCTTGGCTTTCTCAAGTGATCATTAGGGTTCAGGGTTTAGGGTTTAGGGTTTTAGGGTTTAGGATTTGGGGTTTAGGATCCCTAAACCTTGCCGTTCTTTGCTTCAACTGAAGCGATCCAGCTGATGCAGTTTCGAGTTGAGGGTTGAGGGTTTAGGGTTTAGGATGCCTAGAGGGTGGACGGGTATGGAGTTGAGGGTTGGTGTTTGCAGCCCGGGAGCTTTGTTTAGGGATAAGGGTTGAGGGCTTAGGGTTCAGGGTTTATGGATAAGGGTGTAGGGTTTATAGGGTTTAGGGTTTAGGCTTTAGGCTTTATAGTGCTTTAGGGGTACAACCCCAAGGGCAGGAATAGCCCGAGGACCCTACAGACTTTACAGCCAAAAATAGCTCGACGAGGCTTCTAAGTCCTGGATGGGTCCTGCGGGCTTGCAGGGTTGCCGTACTACATATCCTTCCCCACCTTTCCTGCCTCAGAGCCCTAAACCCTAAACCCCTACACCCTCCACCTTGCACCCTACACGCTAACCCTACTGTACCAACCCCGGGTTTACAGTTCAGCGTTGCAGTCTCTTGAAGGGGTCCAGAAGTCGCAGTGTTTTAGGTGTCTCTCTTGAGTACATCCAATATCAGGGCCCGCATACGGCAGCAACAGCTATCTCATCTTCGATCTCGCCCTGAGGCGCGAGGCCTTAGACCCTATAGTGCCCCTAAGCTCTTCATAGTTTGGCCACTGAATCCCTGCACCCGAAGCTCAAATCAAGTTGGGGTGAGCAAGATCGAAATCCTCCAAACTGAAGGTTCTGTCTTCGAACTCTATCCCCCATAAACCGCTGGCAACTTGAAATCCACCCTGAACATGGACTCCGGAAAAGTTAAAGTGAAATTCGAGCCATTCGATCTCGAAGCCTCAAAACCTCCATCCACTGCCCAGGGCGCGAGCTGTCCAAGCTCGCCACTTGGCTGCTCCTCATCGGGTGGGTTTAGGGTTTAGGGTTTAGGGTTTAGGGTTTGGGGTTTGGGGTTTGGGGCTTGGGGTTTGGGGGTGGTTGTTCCAGGTTCCTCTGTATGAGTTCCAGCACGTACTACCGCAACCTCCACACAGGCCTTAGGCAGCATCGGAGGTCGTTGGTGGGAAGGATTCGGATGACGTCAACCCAGGCCTCTCCGCACGCCACGTACGTAGTAGGTGGTTTGTTGATCAGTAGTAGGAGCATCCCTTCACCTGCTGTTAAAGTTCTTCAGCCAGAATTCTGGTTGCGAATTCCTCAGAGCGGAGTGCTTCCTGTCAAGGAATGTCGAGCAGAATTGAGTGGTAAGCGCGCCAGGGGAGGATCTGTGCTTTGATCTCCGTCGTCTCTTTGGTCCTTCATCTTTTTTAAACAGGGTTTGGGGTTTAGGGTTTAGGGTTTAGGGTTTAGGGTTCAGCCACAATCCAGCTTCATGCTAGGAGCGACTCGTCCGTTGTCTTGGCTGAGTGCGTTCACAGGGTGGACAAGACCGGTAGCTTACAAAGGGGGTCGGGAGAATGACCAATATTATTCCCTTAGGGCCCCTTTAATAATTCTACTATAATCACCCCCAACACCCTATTCTAATTATTCAGCCCCCTATTATTAGCAATTCTCCGGCTTCTGTAGGATGGCGATGCCTCACTGGGTGCGGGTGGCGTCAGTGCTTGCTGTCATTGCAAGAGTCTTGCAGGGCAGCGGACACACGGACTTTGTGCAACCATCGTTGCCCCCCAGGTTGCCTCTACATGCGCACGTGAGGCCAAAGCAGAAGATGGGCAAAGGGAGGAGTGGGGCTCCCAAGATTTGGCAACACCCGGGGCGCAGCAGTCGCACAGCACGTCGCTTTTGGTGGCTACTTGAGCTGCCAGTGGTCACAGAAGCCACGGCCTTGGTAGTGGAAGCTACATCCGCGTTTGCTTCAGCAACGGAGGGGTGCCTGGGGCTTGGTGCTCTCAGTGCAGACATCATTGGTGGGTTCGCTGAATGCGGCATCGCTAGTGAAGTTGCTGCTGGCTTTGAGCTTCCTTCCTTTCTCACGCCTGTAGTCGAGGCTGCAGTTGGAGCCGTTGAGGCAGACTGGTTGGCTGCGATTGGGGCAAATGTCTTGGGTCGCGTGGAGACAGGTGCGCTTGCTGATGCTGCAGTTGCCAAGTTGGAGAGCAGCGGGGCAGGCGCCATGATTGCCTTGTCTGAGGAGAAACAGGTGGAATTCGCCTGTGGGATCTTGTCCCGAGTTCCACCAGCAAAAGTGGCTGAGTTTCTACAAGCAATGCTGCTGAAAGTGGCTCAAAACCCAAGCCTCTTGTCCCAGATGGAAGCAGGTTCACCCAAACTTTTGCTCACCATTTGTCAAGAGTCGCCTCAAGCACGAGAGGTTTTCCTCATTCTGCTGCAGAAAGTGGCAACGACAGCATCGCCTGCGTTGCTGGTGTGGCTTGCAAAACTTGCCGTGGAAGCTATCCCTGCTGAGCAACTGTTGGCTCCTGTCGTGGGAACTCCAATCGTCGAAACCTTACTAGCTTCTTTGCCGCCAGAAAACCTGGTCGAACTGGGGAGGTGGCTCGTTACTGAGGCCTCTGAGCCAGTGCTGCGGCAAGTGTGGCCGCTGTTCCTTTCCCAAGCACCTCCTGAGGTTCTATCCAGCATCCTCCAAAGCTCACCAGAGGCCTGGGGCGTCTTGACAAAGACTGCATCTGAGGTAGCCAGGGAGGCTGCGGAGAGTGCCCTACAGATGCCAGGCCTCGCAGTGAAACTTCCACCAGTGGATGAGTATGACCTTCAGATGCTTGTGGGTTCCGCCTTTTTGACTCTGGAGAATAGCACAAGAGTGGGGCGCAATGCCACGGCGCCGAAAGGGCAGAGCAATGCAGGTGTGATCAAAGGTGGTGGCAAAGTTGTGGTAGGTCTTCTGGCAAGTCTGGCATTGAAACAAGCTGCCTTTTGCGTCGGCCTGGGTCAGTTCCCATTCTTGTGGGTCTTTGGCTTGGGGGCTAGTTCTGTGGCCAGAGAGATCTACGAGCAAAACCTGTGAGCTTTGAATGCGACGTTAAAGTCAGTTTCAAGTCTCACAATGTGAAGTTGTTCATTGCAACTCTGTTCGCAGAGTCAGTCTGTGTGCTTGAGTTTGGCATGATTTTCCCAGTTGCTGCAGAATCTGTCTTCCGCACCATGCAGCACAGCCATCGTGATGCAAAGGATTTGCGATTTTCCCGGCCCTGTGCAGCTAGAGTTGAGCTTGCATTTGCTGGAACTCAAAAGGACATGGCGAGCTATCCACTGTGGCAAGTTCAGCTCGGAAAGTTCTAACTAGGGTGAGAGATCAAGGTTCTGGCGCCCCGGATAGGGGCTTGGGAACTGTGGGGCGCCCAAGTATAGTGGAGGTACATGGACCCTTAGGGCAAGGCTTTCGGGTGTACGGTTAGGTTCCTTGGGCTTTGAGCATCTCCGAGCACTGGATGGACAGCAGAAGGTGAATGGGGTCTTAGACGAGGTGCACGAAGCTACCCCTAAACCCTAAACCCTAAACCCCAAACCCCAAACCCTAAGCCCTAAACCCCAAACCCTAAACCCTAAACCCTAAACCCTGAGGAGCCTAGAGGTGCTCGAAGCTTCCGAGGCCTGCCAAGAGATCTACACGCTGCCGGGGCTGACGGATGCTTCCCGCACCCATGGCCTCAAGAGAAGGGTTGAGGGGAGGGGTTTAGGGTTTAATTAGGTTTTTGGGTTTAGGGTTTAGGGTTAAGGGCTTAGAGAAAAGGGTGGTGAGGGGTTTAGGGTTTAGAGTATAGAGTTCAGGGTTTAGGGTTCAGGGTCTAGGAATTTATGGGTTAGGATTTAGGAATTCAGGGTTTAGGGTTTTAGGGGGACAGGGTTGAGGGTTCTGGGTTTAGGCAGTTTAGGTGGTTAGGGGGGTGTGTTTTTTTTTTTTTTTTTTTTTGGGGGGGGGGGGGTTAGGGTTTTAGAGGGTTCAGGGGTTCAAGGCTTTTAGGGTTTCGGGGTTTGGAGGGTTGCAGTTTAGGGCGTTGGGGGTTTGATTTTTGGTGGGGGTTTTGCGGAGTAGGGTTCGGGACACGACCCTGCACCCTAAACCCTAAACCCTAAAGAACCACTTTTTCCGAATATCCCAAGAATCGATCACTGACTAAACCCTAACGGGTTTAGGGTTTAGGGACCAGGGAGCCCCAACCTCAATGCGCGGGGCCCCAGGCACGCCATTCGCCCTTAGCGAGGACGTATTGCAGCGATGGCGTGAGCTCTACAAGGACAGAGCTTTAGGATTTACTTGGCTTAGGGGGTTTGAAGTTTTAGGGTAAAGGGTTTCAGGGCTGCAGGGATGTAGAAGGAGTTCAGAAACCCTGTGCTTTTGTGCACCTAGGGTTTCTGCATGTGTACAAAGCTGTCGTTGTAATGTAGAGCGTAGGGATTGATTTAAAGAAGATGCTTGCGGAACTTCGACCTTTGTAAGGACCGTCGAGAAGCCATAGGCCTTCACTCAGTAGAGTTCTTATAAACCCGAATCAGCGCAGAGATACCGAAGAACGATTAACCCCAATTCGCCAAAACCCTGGAAACTCTGGGGTCAGGGCTTCGGGTTTGAAGTGAAATATTTAGGGCTTGAACCCTAAACCCTGAATTTTCATAGCTCCCGAAAGCGTGTAAGCTCCTTATCATCCCTCCCCCTGGCACCAGGATTCGGTGTTGAAAGCCGGTTTTCGCCTTGCCCGGACCATGAAAGAGCTGCTCACACACAGGACTGTAGGGTTTAGGGTTTTGGGTTTTGGGTTCAGTAGGGTGGCACCTGCTTGGCCTACTGGTTTTTAGTAGGGAAGGAGGGAATTAGGTACCTTACATCCCCCTGTTTCGGCTGCAGGGATCCCATGAAAGTGGATATGGCCAAGCCGTACTCTAACAGCTGCTTCACAGTTTCTAAACAGCCCAGTAGTACCCTTATTCCCTTTTTGGAGGGTTTAGGTTCCCTTATAAACCCCTTTAAGCAAAAAAGGGCACCCTTTTAAGCCTAGGTTGCTGGGCAGCCTAGGTTTAGTGTTTCGGGATGTGAGGTTCCCCAAGGTTCCATGTTCCTAAATAGGGAACCCTAAACCCTAAGCACTAAGCCCTAAACCCTAGGTATCAGCCTTTAAGCCCTAAACCCTAAACCCTAAACCCTAAACCCTAAACCCTAAACCCTAAACCCTAAACCGTACTTGGGTCTTAAAGTGCCTCCTATATAGGGACTCTGGGGCCCATGTATGCACCAATGAGGTACATGGACCCTTTGGGCTTAGGGTTTAGGGTTTAGGGTTTAGGGTTTAGGGGTTAGGGGCGGTCGAAAGACATTTGCTCAACACGCGTGGTTGCAGGAAGCACGCTGCGGTAGCCTGGCATGTTTCTATGTGTTTGTGGCTCAGTGTTTGGGTTAGGCTTAAAAAGCAAACTGAACTCTGAATCCTAAACACTACTCTGACCTCAAAAAGCACTCTAAAAAAGTATGAAAGTGACAAGCAGGTGCTACTGCGTGCAGCTGTTGTCCTATTAGGTGCCGTCTAGGGTTTGTTGATCTTGTTTCTGCCAGTTGGGACCTAGGGATATTTGATATTTGCTCCTGCTGGATCTAAGAGGAACTTACTTGGAATATTCTCAGACGGTTTGAAGGCCAGCCTACAGGTTCCTTTGTACTTTGTTCGGCCATGGGTCGATCCAGTCTTTCCCTAAACCCTAAACCCTAAAGCACTCTGAACTTAGACAGTTCCAACTAGTTCCGGAAATAGGAGTACCTTTGCTTGGCGGTTCCTTTCGTATTTTGGTGTATATTCGGGGCGGGGGGGGGGGGCTATTTTAGGAAATGCCCAAATCGTCCATATGGTTTCTTTTTCAAGGTCCTCATAGAGCATCATCCGTAGCAAAACCAAAGACACTACTCAATCCTGGCTCATATGAACGGTATGTTGTGTTTTTGGCATCTGGTACGAATTCGTAGAAGTTCCCATACAAGCGATGTTCTGAATTCGAGGGTTTCGTGTTCCCTTGCTTATCAATCTCCGATGTCTGATGCTTGTCGTCTCTGTCTCTGCCCTAGATCCCCCCCCAAATCACTAAACCCTGCACCCTAAGCCCTCAACCCTAACCCAAGACCTAAACCTAAATCCTCAACCCCTCAACCCCTAAACCCTAACCCCTAAACCCTAAATCCCTAAGCCCAAAAGCTCATGGAGGAGCCATTTTCAGGAAGTCCTGTACCCCTCAACTAGCAGCCGAGCACACGAAGCGTACAACGATGACTCTTCGGGGATACTTTGGGGGTTCAGGCAGGGCTTAGAAGGTTGAGAGTTGAAAAGGTTATGGAGATTAGACGGCTAATTTCTCGAGTTTTGCAGGATACACGGCGTGTATGTCGTTGATAGGGTTTATTGAGTTTAAGCAACAACAGGGTTTTCAAGGTTTGTATTCTAGGACTCAGGGGGGTGGATAGGACTCATAGGGCTTTGGGTTGAAGATCTTTAAATTAAGCCCTAAATCCGAAACCCTAAACCATCCTAAACCCTCCTAAACCCTAAGCCCTAAACCCTAAACCCTAAACCCTAATCCAACCAGGGTCAGCAACACGGCCGCGGCCTCCACCGCCCGCGGCGGCATGCAGCGCGCCACTTTGCCGTGGGCTGAGCCCTGGGTTTGGGGGGCTGAGGGTCGAGGTTCTAAAGGGCTTACGTTCCCTAAACTCCCACGGGGTACCCAGAGCCCAAAAACCCCCAAATGCACTTTGGGTCCTCTGCGCCATGGAGTTCAGTAGTTAAAACTTCAACCCTCCGTAGCCACAAACCTACGAAGCCATAAACCCACAAGCCCCAAACCCTTTGACCCTGAACCCTAAACCCGAACCCCCCTCCCCAAGCCCTGAACCCTAAACCCACCCTAAACCGTAAACCCCCCAAGCCCTGAATCCTAAACCCGAAACCGCCCCCCGAGCCCTGAACCCTAAACCCACCCTAAACCCCCCAAGCCCTGCTAAACCCCCCCAAACCCCAAACCCTGAACCCTAAACCCCCCAAACCCCAAACCCCAAACCCTGAACCCCAAACCCCCCAAAACCCTGAGGCGAAGAACGCGGTCATCGCCGTGCCAACAGTGCCCGGCTCTTGGCACCGTTTGGGCGGACCTTGGGTTCAGGCTCAGGGTTTTAGAGTATTTTAGAGCTTTATCAGCCCTGGGTTTAGGCTGCTAAGGGTTTAGGGTTGGAGGGTTGAGGGTTTAGGGTTTAGGGTTTAGGGTTTAGGGTTTAGGGTTTAGGGTGGGAAAGCCTCAAGCCCTGAGTCTTGGGCCCATTACATGGGTTCGTGGTCTCTTTAAGTAGGGTTTCTGTTTTGTAGGGGCATCTTTTGGGGTTCTTACTAGGGTAGCTAGGCGCTCCATTAAGGTATAAAGGTATCAGATAAAGAGGCCACCGTCCTGTATAAGGTTGGGCTGTTAAGGATTTTAGGGTGGCAGGGTTTCAGGGTTGAAGGGCTTTGGGGACATCCAGGATTAAGGGAACTCATGATGTTTAAAGTTTAGAGTTCGCCCCAAACCCTAAACACCAAACCCCAAAACCCTAAACCCCAAACCCTAAACCCTAAACCCTAAACAAAGTCGGAGTTTCAGAGTTGGGTCGCTCAGCAAAGCCAGGGTTTGGGAGGCTTTAGGTCGAAGGCGAAGCAAGCCGGGAAAGCGGGTTGGGACTTAGGGCATAGGGTTTTTGGGTCTTGGCGTTTAGGATTTAGGGTTCAGGGTTTAGGGTTTAGGGTCTTAGAGTCTTGGGGTGTTGGGGAGGATTTGGTGGTGTGGGTTGCAGGGTTTGGGGACTCAGGGGTTGGGGCCATTCTGGGGCCTTCAGGAGTATGTGGAGGGGATGCGGCTGGGCAGCACAGGCGTTCAGCAGTTAACTTTCAAAGCTTTTGCCAGGCCTTAAACCCGATGAACCCTACACCCTGCACCCCAGACCCTCCCCTTAAACCTGCATGGGTTCGGGAGTTTGGGCTTCAGAGGTCTGTAGAGGCG